CGCCAATGTTGGATCAGGCCAAAGGCCCATCCAGTCCAACACTCTGTATCACACAGCGGCGAGAAATACCAGTGCCATCAGGAGGTCCACCAGTGGGGCCAGGAGATTAATGCATTTAGCTTCTCAGCCATTTCCCTATCATCCTTCAGTACTCCTTTTACCCCTTGGTCATCCAAGGGCCCCACTGCCTCCCTGGCTGGTTTTCTGCTTCTTATGTGTTTGAAGAAAGAGAAAGTTTTATTGTTGGTTTTTACGTTTTTTGCTATATGCTCCTCATATTCCCTTTTTGCCTGCCTGACCACAGACTTGCATTTTATTTCCCATAGCCTGTGTTCTGTTTTATCAGCCTCACTGTGACTAGCTTTCCACCGCTTAAAGGAATCCTTTTTACCGTTTACAGCTCCCATTACTTTGTTTGTTAATCATGCAGGCTTTTTCCTATACCTGTTTGTGCCTTTCCTAACCTGCGGAATATATATATATATTGAGCTCCTAGGATCGTAGTTTTAAACAGTTTCCAAGCTTCCCCAATTGTTTTGACCCTTTCTACTTTTCCTTTCAGTTTCCTCCCCACATGTCCCCTCATATCAGAGAAGTTACCCCTTTTAAAGTTAAAAGTGGTTGTGTCAGTCTTTTTGGCCAATTCCCTATTTATACAAATGTTGAACTCAACAACATTATGATCACTGTTCCCAAGCGGTGCAATCACTTTTACATCTCTCACCAGGTCTTGAGTGTTACTTAGGACCAAATCAAGGATCGCCTCTCCCCTGGTAGATTCCGTGATCATCTGCTCCGTAACACAGTCATTTAGAGTGTCTAGAAACTCAATATCTTTTTCTCGACTAGAACACATATTGACCCAATCAATGTGTGGGTAGTTAAAATCACCTATTACGACACAGTGTTTTTGTCTAGCTGCTATCTTTAATTCATTCATCATTTTATAATCCTCTATCTTTTGATCTGGTGGGCGATAACAAACTCCCAGTGTTAAGTTTCCTTTTGGCCCCCCTATTTCAACCCATAGAATTTCCGTAGAATGTATGTATGTTGTATATATTGTAACAAGGCCTCAGAATTGTTATAAATCTGTTTCCGTAGAGTAGTGTTAACTTTTTGTGTGACCATTAAACCTTTGTCATTTAACTAGGGCAGCAACAAATTAATTGGTTAATCAGTTAAAATCCTGTGGGTATAAATTAATTAGGTAATTTATTTACTAATACTTTTAAATATTATTTTAAATCTCTGCACTATAAAAACTACTGGGGCCAGGCACCATCTTAGAAATGTCCTTGCCTCTTTGTTCTCATTGAGGATAGCCTCTTCTAAGATGGGGCCTCCTGCATACTGTAAAAAACAAAACAAAACAAAACATTGCTTTCCTTCAATGCTATTATTCTTTTTATTAATGTGTAAATGTATGCTTTTTAAAACCAATGTGATAAGTTGCCTAAGATGTCTTTAAACAAATTACATTTTTTCCCTAACATTTTCTAGATCATTGCAAGGCCTATACTTATTTGCTGAGTCCAACCTGATCTCCCCCCACCCCCACAAGGTTTTCAGTTGCTATGAAGAAGTCTAGTTTGCTTTTCCTCGAGGATGACATTGTGTGTCCAATATGCCTCGAGGTGTTCAAAGACCCTGTCACTACAGCCTGTGGCCACAACTTCTGCATGGACTGTCTGCAGGATTACTGGGATCGTCAAGCTTTGATTGGGGAATGCCCCTACTGCCCTCAGTGCCGGGAGTCCTTCAGCTCAAGGCCTCAGCTCCGCAAAAATATAACCCTGGGAGAAATTGCTATGAGATTTGAACAAGAAGAGGCTCAGGGGTCAAGGACGCTCCCCTTGGTGGGTCCGCGGGATGTCCCATGTGACTTCTGCTCTTCCAATAATAAACTCAAGGCTGTCAAGTCTTGCCTGCAGTGCATGGCGGCCTTGTGCCATAACCATATCCAGTCCCACTATGAAGACAAGACCTTCAAAAACCATCAGCTGGTAGAACCTCTCAGTGACCTGAAGGCCAATATGTGCCTAACGCATCGCCGGCTGTTGGCGCTGTTCTGCAAAATGGAAGGCGAATTCATCTGCCACATCTGTGTCCGGGAAAAGCACAAGAATCATGAAGCCATCCCTATAAAGGAGGAGAGAGTCAAGAAAGAAGTATGTATTGTGCCCTTCAATCCTGGAAAGGAAACTTTGAGAATAGAGGAATGGGTTGTGAAGACAATACCCTAACTACCATCCCATAAAGCTACCCAACAACCCATTCTGTACCACATTTCATTTTCTTCATCTCCTAGTTCTGCATTTATTTATTAGATTTTATCCAGAGTTTTTATTTAGTTGATATTTTAATAGATACTTTAATTCCTGGAGATTTGGAAGTAGAGCCTGGAGAGGGCATAGTTTGGGGAGGGGAGTGACCTCACCAGGGTATAATGCCATAGAGTCCACCCTCCAGAGCATCTATTTTTTTCCAGCAGACCTGATCCCTGTTGTTTGGAAATCAGTTATCTGTCAAGCCTAACCCCAGGGACTCACAGTCATCAAACTCACAGTCATCATACTTTTGGCAGTAAACATAAGCATGTTAGTTTAAAAAAAACAAAGATTGTGTCTTGGCTTTTGGGATCCTGCTGTTTATCATTTACTTACAGTGTTCATAGCCTGTTTTTCTCTGTGATCGGGGACTCTGTGCCACCATCAGATCAGCCCAGATTGTGTAGATGTAGGTCATCTGACCTATGGGGCTGTCTGAGAAAATACTGATGTATTTCTAACAGTAGTCTTTGATAAAAATTACTTTAACTTGGCACGGCCAAGAAACGTGTGTATCTGACCAAAATGAGGATGAGCATGGTTCAACAGTGACTTGCCCACTCTCATTCTGTGCACCTTGTGCAGAGAAAGATATTAAATAAAGATAAAGATAGAATAAGGCTGCGGTCACACGGAACATTAGCCACGCAAGAGAGACGGAAGACAGGCGGATTTTCCGGGCACGATCTCACCGGCACATCTGGGAAGCGTAGCTCTTCCGCGGCACAACCGAGGCTTCACGCCGAAAACACGCAGCAAAAAACTAGTACCTCGGAGGTACTAGTTTCCGGAAACTGCGGGGCAAGGGCGGGCGTCTGATCACGTTTCCGGTGGCATCCGGCGCCCGCCCATGTCCCCTTGTGAAAAAGGGGTTTTCCCCCCCAAGTCTCCGTGGATGTGCACACACACCCAACGGAGCATGCGCATTTGTCGTGTACACAAAAAAAGAAAACCAGTTTGCCGCACCGCGCGCTTCTTCGTTGCGTGCAGGCGTGTCCTGTGATCGGCACCTCTCCCTACCCACGGAACCTCCACGGTACCTCCACGGTACCTCCACAGGACCTCCACAGGAGGTCTGATCGCTTAACCATGCGTTAGTTCGCCCCGGGGCAAACAGCCACACTTCCCCCCCGCAGTTTCCTGCCCGTGTGACCGGAGCCCAAGATAGGTAGCCATGTTAGTCTGTCTGTAGCAGCAGAAAAGAGCAAGAGTCCAGTAGCACCTTTAAAACTAACGATTTGTGGCAGGGTATGAGCTCGTATTCCTGCCAGAGGAGAGTATTGGAGGACTCTGTTCCTGAGAAAAACGGTCTAATGGCTAATACGTTCCAGAAATATAATTGAATTGGATTTTGTATTGTTGTGCCTTATGGATAAGCTATTTGTCTTATGAGGAAATTGTGGTTTTGATAAAAGCTAAGCTGAAATGCGGAGCAACCTTGGGCTACCTGTCAGCCGAAGCCAAAGTTTAAAACGAAGGGCACATTCTATTGAACCTGGAATTTACGACCTAAAGACTAATTGCCATCAACAATATTGTGGACTTCATAATCCATTGCGTTTAGCTATTGCAAGACTGAATGTATTAGTACGAAATGTTTAATTACAGATACATGTTAAAAGTTTTTAAAATCATTTTGTATTTTTCACTAAGGGTTCATTATATAAAACATTGTTTATGCAGTAATTCTAAATAGCCTGTTCCCACAGTGTTTTGCTTGAATTGTAGCCACCTTGAGCCTAGCATCCCTATCTCTATGCCACCATCGGATCAGCCCAGGTTGTACAGATGTATGTCAGCTGGCCTATGGGGCTGTCTGAGTAAATATTATATTAGTCTTTCATAAAATGGCCATTAGTTATAGGTTTCTTTGTTCTTTTGTTGTTTATATTGTTAAATAAAAATATAAAAGTTAAAAAAGGGAGGAAACAATTGTATTCCATTGATTAAACACATGGAAAGAAGCGCTGCAACAACATTCATTCTCTTAGAAATTTTTTAATGCATTTGCTTTTGATGATATGATGGATTTGATGCAACAATTATGATTTTATATGTATGGTGCTATATATGTGTTCAAATAGCCATAAAAATAACAGTGGCAGTTATGGAAGGATTCCCTAAAGCCCGTTTCTGTATTTCTTGCAGATTAACTTGATGTCTTAATGTTACAGGTAGCATTCAAAGCTGACTCAGTTTTAATCAAGTGCTCGTCACAAAGTTGTTTTTGTCCAGTTCAAACACATGTAGCATTGTTGAGCAGCAGGAAGTTACAAACCAGTGTAAAGACCTACAATGTTTCTTTAGCCTATTATTCTTTGTCTTGACTTGTGAAATTAGTTTAATTTCTCAGGCATTTTTGCACAATGTTCTAAAGGTCTGGAGGTGACACAAGGACTGAATGATCAAAAAGTGGAATAATTATGCTGGCAGAATTTTTTGTTGACTGGTCAATAGCTTGTTTGCTATCTGGACCATCATCTCTTGTCATTGCCACTACTGCAGTGAACTGGTTAATAATGATGCTGACATAAAGATTGTTATTCTTTTATTTTGGAGGTGGTTCATTCTTGAGGTGTTCTTTGAGATGTTTCTGTGAACATTTATTCCAAGAACAGAGAGGTCAGTAGAAGACAGCATCATATCCAGTTACATTCGGTTCATGGCTGGGCTGGAATGGTTTTGAAAATTAAAGCCAAGATCCTGAAGCACATAATGACCTTACTGCATCATTGCACTGGCTCTGTTCTTCCTAGGCTGGTATTTTGCAATGGGAGTTCAACAGGATCTTTTTGCTTAAAGTATACAGTGTTGGAACACAAACCAATAGTGCAACTATAGATTCTCTAGTATCCATCCTTCAAGAGATATTTAGGGATGCCAGCCTCCAGGTGGGACCTGGGGACCCCCCAGAATTACAGCTCAGTTCCAGAAATCAGAGATCATTTCCCCTGGAGCAAACAGATGCCTTGGAGGGTGGACTCTATGGCATTGTACTCCACTGAGGTCCCTGTCCTCCCCAGGCTCCAGCCCCAAATCTCCAGGAATTTCCCAACCTGGATCTGGCAACCCTAAATTGCTGCAATGTATTTCTACTTTGTTTTTAATTTTTTCCTAGGCAGATGTCAACAGAATTCAAGCCAATGTGGAAAACCAGATTTTGATGCTGGCATTGGATGGTCAAACACACAGGGGTAGAATAAACTACTTAATGGTGAGAAAAGCTTTTCAGAATACACCCACCGAATGTTGAATATATGACATGGTGTAGTATTGTGCCATGCCTTTCGTTAGTGTCCACTTGTATGGTTTGGAATCCAGTGCTGTCTCTGTAGGCTCATTTGAGTCTGAAGACCATGTCCACCATGAAAGGTCTAGCAGTTGCTGAACATGGACTACCTTCCTCTCTAGTCTATGAAACATCCCAGGCCCTGATTGGATCGCAGGCTCAAGTCAGATAGATACAGCTGTCCTTCAAGATTAGGTGTGAATCATCTTTGGGGGGAAAATACTGAAAGCAAAGCCAATAAAGTTTAATTGTAGCTGACTTTTAAAAATTCCAATGCATTTTGAAGATCTTCAGGAAACATACAAAGACATGTATAGCCAAATATCCAAGCAATCATTTCATAATAATAAAAGTATATGAATCACATCATTTAAAGGGCTATTTATGCCTATATAGTAATAAATTCATGATAATTCCAAAGGGCTTTTGTTAAGGGACAAGAAAGCACACACTTCAACATAATCAAAAGGATATATGAGGGGGAAAGATTTTTTTGTATATACCTTTCAAAAATTGTTTATACTAAGCATATACATAACCCAGGCAATAAAACCACGGCTGAAAGAAAAAGCTAAGAATAAACCCTCATGGCTGAGATTTGGGCAGTGGTTAAATAAACACATCTTTTAAAACTTAGAGGTTGTGTTTGGAGTGGCCGCTCTCTGCACTGAGCTTTGCAAGGAGCCGTAATGTACATTCCCATTTAACTTCTCATCAAGTCATTCTCTTCTTATGGCTCAGTCTTGAAGGGTTTGTTCTTCTCTTGGTTTTATTGACTTGAAACATAGGAGAGCTATACATTGTTAAAGTAAGGCATACACAAAGCATTTTATAAAGCTTTTAATTATGTGTTTCTTGTTGTGTGCTTTTTTTCTCTCAGGAAAGGTTCTTAGGGTTCTTAAGAATACATTATTACCAAGGCATAAATAGCACTTTAAATCATGTGATTGACATTGTAGCTTTTATTATAGTTATATAGGCAAATGTATGATGAATCATAACATTTGACTTTGGCTGCAGTTACACACACTAATAATCCACTTTCAATCCACATTCGATGCACTTTCCAACTGGATTTTGCCAGTTCACATAGTAAAATCTAGTTGGAAAGTGCACTGAAAGTGGATTATTTAGTGTGTGTGTGTGTGACTGCAGCCTTTGTACATTCCCCTGTAGATCTGCAAGTTACATGGGGGATATTCTGTATTAAACTACAATTGCATCTTAATGGTTTTGCCTTCAGCTCCCCCCCCCCCTCCCGGGTTTGGTGTGCCCCTCCCCTTTGGCAAGTCATCTTGAACATTTGGGCAACATCTACATCACTGCTCTCTGTTGCAAACCGTTTCATGTCCTCCATTGCTATCTTCTTGATTTCTTTTCTGCTGCCTCTTTGGATCTTTTGTGGCTATGTTCCAGGTGGATTTAAGACAGCGTAAATTCTGTCCCCTGTAGTGTGGATACATGGCCTGACGTTTGACAATACCCATTAGGTCTGTGCATCCTAGTGGAATCAGGAAGCCAAAGGAAGAATTTCCTGTGAGGCTTTGCACAGGCCCAGTGTTTGCTGCCCCATACAGCTGCACTGTCTAATGGGAGAGGTATGAGCTCATACCCTGCCACAAATGTTATTCGTCTTTAAGGTACTACTGGACTCGTGCTCTTTTCTAATAAATAGTCAGTGAAGAAAATATGATGTGCTTGGACTTCCCTTTCCATTCTAGAAAGTGGTGAAGACCGCCAGAGATGAAGTGACCCAGACCTTTGCTGAGGTATTCAAAGAGCTCAAGTGGCTGCAGGCTAAACTGATGGACTTTGTAGACCAAGAAGAAAGATCAGCTTTAGTGGAAATGGGAAACTCCATTCAGCATAGGAAGGAGGAACTGACCAATCTCAAGAAGCAGAACATGTGGTTGGCAATGCTGGCTAATGACCCGAGTGATTCTCAGTTCCTGCAGGTAGGAGTGCCACTTTTCCTCTCTGTAGTTGAAACACTGTCGAGGCCATTGTCTAGTAGCCCAAGACTATCGTAGCAGTGGCCACTTAGTTTTTTGTGAAGCCCAGAGGCAGGCCCGTAGCTATCGTGGGGCCCGCGGGGACCGCCTCCCCTGCTGTTTTTGCGGGCCCCTCCCCCGATCCTCAGCTCCCCCCCTCCAGCCCTCCCCCCCCACACACACATTGGTCGGATTGCAGCCGCTGCAGCAGTCCACTCCTCCTGTTGTATTTTCTGTGCCAGGCTTCAGCAAAGATCGTCGGCTCAGAGAAGGAGTGAGGGAGGAAGCTTGATCCCTGCTCTCCTTTTTTTAAAACACACGGCAGCTTTCCTAGACCTCTGAGGAGCCTTAGTGTCTATTAACATTGGGATTCTGGCTTGCCTCAGAGGAAGGCTCTAGTGGGGGCTGTGGGGGTGTGTGCCAAGCAGACCCTCCTTGCCCTGAAGCCTTTGATTTAATTAGCTGGTGGGGCTCCCCAAGGCCCCCTCCCCCCCAAAATCCCTAGCTATGGGGCTGCCCACAGGCACTGGGGGAGGATGTTCCTTGATAGACACATTCAAATATATAACATCTTGGAAGGTCAAATTGCCATATAAATCATAGTTGCAGTCATTTAGAACAGTACCTCTACGGCTTTCTTCATTATTACAGGCAGCATCTTGCCTCTGTCTTATTTTTTGCCTTCTCAGCATTCCTGAGGTTGTTCCATTCACTCAGCATCCCATGCTTGCATGGATAGATGATGTCCCACTCCAGATAGGTGGTTTCTTGGCCTGTGTATCGGCTGGGATTTCTCATAATTGAGCTTTGGGATGGAGGTGGACATTTTGGGGAGGGTTTCAGGACCATTGGTTAAAACAGGCCAGAGCAACGACACTGGTGTTTTCCACATGGGGACAGGTAGTTTCCCCATTGCTGCTGTTGCTGCCAGTACAGCACAGTGGCAACAGGACTTCCACATGGCAAGTTTCCCTGAAATTTCTTTGCCTGACTCCCATAGCAATGGCTATTGCCCCTCCCCTGGACTTAATATAATTATATCAGTATAAAAAAGTAAGTTTCTAGCCCCTTTTGTTCTGAAAGTATGCCTTTCCCCTTCTATCTCTGCAAAGATAAAAGGGACTCACTGGATACTTACTTTTTTAAAAACATGAAAGCTGGGAATTCAGAGAGCCTATTGCATATTTTGTTGTAGCATTGTATAATAATACTCAATTGTTGATTTAAAAAACCCTATCTGACCCTATCTGGCTTGGCATGCTTCTTGGGCACAAGGCTTTTCCTTTGCCACAGTGTACAGTCAATAGTCCAACATTAGGCACTTCACGTGGACCACAGTTCTGTCCAGTGCCCTGGTACACACTTCTTCATAGTCCAGTAAGGCAGTGCTTACAAGAGTCTCTAATAATGCCATCTGAAGTAGCTTCATTGAAAACCCATACCTATCCTCCCGCTATATTCCTTATTTTGGACTGGTGCCAACTAGGAACTAGTGCACTAGTAGAGGATAAAGGGCATTTCCCCATGGCCAGAGTTGGTAGCACAAACCTTCACCACTTGCCTTTCCTTTGATCACTCATGCTGTTTGTTTGCATAATATCTTCTTTCCCTCCTGCCTGCATTAGGTCCTAACCCCAGTAGGAGCAGCCTTTGCCTGAAAGATCTGGCTATGTTGTACTTTAGACAGCCCCACACCGCACCCCCTTCTATGCTGCTGCATATAAATGTTTCTGTCGTATAAATAGCTCTGCTAGTAGACCTCCAGCAAGTAGCAGCTTAACCCCACCTGCACCAACAGCACATTATTTTATTGTGTATTAAAACATATGGTGCTACAGAAATGCAGTGCTAGGAGAGAAAATGACTCCTGTACCATTTTTGAATGATATTTTGAAGGCTCCAGTAGAATTTAGTGATAGGAATAGGCAGAGGTGGAATGTGCCAACCAACTGCATACAAGCATCGAAAGAGGGCTGTTCTCTGGACGAACCGTGCAAGTGACTGCTTGAGGTGGTGCAATGAGGAGGGCAGAGGGTCTCCAGTTGCTCCCAGCCGTTAGCAGCAGAGGAGGTAAGTACCATCACCACCTGGGTTTGCACTGCTTTGTCTTGGCCGGTAGCAGTACAGGCCCAGGTGGTAATGGATTAGGGTTGCCAGCCTCCAGGTGGGGCCTGGAGATCTCCCGCTTTTACAACTGATCTCCAGCTGACAGAGATCAGCTCCCCTGGAGAAAATGGCTGCTTTGGAGGGTGGACTCTATGGCATTGTACCATGCTGAGGCCCCTCCCCTCCCCAAACCCCGCCCTCTCCTGGCTCCGCCCCCAAAGTCTCCAGGTATTTCCCAACTCGGACCTGGCAACCCTATAATGGATGTACCATTCTTCGGGTGGCTAAATGTCTTTAACTGGCCCTGATGTTAGCCCTTAGCGACAAACAGCAGTGAAGCACTATTCAAATGGCTTTAGATATTTTTGACCAGTAAATATTCAGATGTTCTTTTAATCTGATAGTAATAGTATGATGACTACCCACCAAGGATCATTTTTTGCTCACACAGGATTATCTTTGGTATTTATTTCTTCATGACATTTCCATCCGCCCTTCCTCTGAGGAGATTTGTAGTGACTTGCCCAAGGCCACCCAATGTGTTTCAAGGTTGGATGTGCTGAAATTTTAACCTGGTTTCCCACATTTAAATATAGTAACACTCTACCCACTGTATCTCACTGGCTCTCAACTGGTATCCCAAAATAGTTCACATTACCCAGGACCGAGGACCTGTACTCCTTCCTATCTCCATCTGCTCTGTTCTTTGCAGGAAGTGTTCAGCACACTCTGTCCAAGCTCCTGTTACCTCCTTCCAGCTCTCATCTTTCCCTTCCATTCCATCTTATCACTTTTCCTTATTACCTGTGTCCCATCATCTTGTCCTTCAACATTTTAACATTAGAAAGGAAAAACATTAGAAATTCCCAAACCCATATATTTCCCTTGTAATGCTAATGTTTGGGGCAGGGTTGACTAGGAGGGCATATGCAATTCTTCCCTGCAAATATCCCCCTCCAGGTTGATCTTAATTTTTTTCTTCCTAGCAAGGCCCTAAAAGCAGAAGTAAATCCCACTTGGAAGGGAAACAGGAAGGTAGCTTGGAAACAGAGGATTTGCAGGGGATAATTGGGATATAGGAGTAGTGAAGTATTCACACACACACACATACACGTTTATTCTCCTTTACAAAGGGCCCATGTTTGTATTATCTCGTGACAGAAATATCTGTTGGCCTGCATCCAATCATGCATGCATGGAAGGCAGGCAGGCAGGCAGAATTTCCCCTTGTTCCTCCCCATTCCAGGAGCCCCTTCTGTACCCCAGAAAGGTCATTTGTGAAGTTGTGGGAATGTATGCGGAAGAACAGTCATGCTGGCTGCAACACTGCCATGCAGAGGGGCTTGAAATCATTATCACACCCTACTCCCTGTTCCATCAATGGAACTGATCTTACAGAAGACACAGAGGAAGCCAGTTCACCTCCTTCTCCCTCACCCCTGCAGCAGTCCAAGCCACATGGCTATTCCACTGCATGGGTCCTTCCTAGGGCTGCCAAGTTGGGGCGGGTAAACCCCCACTTTGGAGGCCTGATTTCCGCCGCCGCGGAATTGGGCCCCAGGGGGAACTCCACCCACCGAAGCGCAGCGTGGCTGCATCACCGGAGGTGACGCAACCACGTCGATCACGTTGGGGGCGTGGCCCGGATCGTCAGAGGGAAAACTCTATGGTTTTCCCTCCGACAATCCGGGCCACGCCCCCAACGTGGTTGACGTCACACATCACTTCTGGTGACGCGCTGGCGGCGTGCGTGCGCACATCCGAGGACGGCTCCCGGAGCCCAGCGAGGCTCCCCCGCCGGTGAGTTTTTTTGACTTGGCAACCCTAGTCCTTCCACCCCACATATGATCTTTCCACAAGGTCAGAAAGGGTTGCAGGAACTGAGAAGAATATGGATACAGGCCATTATATGTACTTCTGTGATTGTGAAAAATACTTTTTTTCTTTTTCAAATACAGCCACTGGAGCTGGGCCTGTGGGGTTTTTTTTTGTTGTTGCTTTTTTTTGGGAGTTTTTTTTTTTAAGGCAGGCAACTGCACAGAAGGTAAGTGCTCCTGGAATTGTCCTGCTGGAAAACAACCACAATTTACTTTTACCTCTCCTAGGGAAAGCTTACAAGTATCCCCCTATTTTTTTACTAAGTAAAACCAGCTTGAGGGTTGCATTTTTAATCAGAAAGCAGCAAGGATGGAAAGTTTTGGGTTTTTTTTAAAGTACCCTCAACACCATTCTCTCTTATGAAAAAGCAGCCCCAGCAGATGCATTTGGAAAAGGGGAAAAAAGTATTTAGAATATCTGGGAGTGGGCACTATCAATGTTCCCTCTAAGCTGTGGGGTTTTGTGAGCAGAAATTCTACTTTGTGAGCTACTGGCATTAACGTTGTGAGCAAGCAATATGGCTACTGCATAAATTAGCTTGCTCTGGAGCCCTCCTTCCTGAGCTAAGACAAAAAATGTGTGAGCTGGAGGCTGAAAAACTGTGAGCTAGCTCACACTTACTCAGCTTAGAGGGAACACTGGGCACTATATGGAATATGTAGTTCAGGCTAGGGTTTCCAGCTCTAGGTTGGGAAATTCTTGGAAGTGATGCCAATGCCCTGAGGGTGCTAAGGTTCTTTGACTTGTGTGGCTAGCCAATAAACCACACAGTGAAATAAACTATTCCAGGCAATAAAGGGTAAAAAAAAAGATTTATTCGAATAAGGAACATCTCACAGCAAAGAAATTCAGCATAGATGTTCAGTGAGCAAATACAGGGAGCAGACATATATTCTTGTTCCTCCCAACTTTACATCATTGTTGACATCATTTAGACATGCTCAGTTCAGATCTCCTTGTCTGGTCAGTCATCAATCACATGTTTGACAAACAGGATGTTACTTGGCTGTGTCTCAACTCTACAATGCAGGTGTTTGTCTCATTATATTGATTTATACATCTGTTCATTTTCTTGGCTGCCTACAAAGACTCCTTTCACTTTTAAATGAACTCTCGGGCTGAGTTCATTTTTAGTACAAAATTTAAATGTTTTCATTACAAAAATGGTTCTTTTACATGGATACATGCATATAAAAGTATAACAATATTCTTAAAGCATTTTATAGGCTTATTTTCACTAAGGGTATACAAAAATATGAAAACATATATCATTTAAATGACATTCTAAAGAATTAAACTCTTTTAGTGTTTCAAAGTAGCCTATGGCATAAAGCTTCTGTAGATACATTGTATTACACATTATTCTTTATTTTTGGTTCATCAGGGAATTTTTACAGAATATTTAAACCTTTAAATTTCCTTATTTTGTCAAGATATGTTATTTTACTTTAACCAGCAGGAGTCACCCTTTTATAATACAATTTCTGCATTTTTAATTGACCCTTTTAATTAGCTTCTTTAGCTGACCTGCCCATGATTAATGTCTTCTATTTTGGCTGGGTTTTCCACACACACCTGGTCAGCTCTTGGTCATTTTCCAACTTTTGCTCTTGTCAGCAGCTTGTAAGCTTTAAACACAATTCTTTATTAGAAAATTAAAACCTTAACTAGTTTTCTTCTTTTTAATAAACATTCAGAAACATTTTATCCATAAGCTTTCATTCTCAGCTATAAACATTCAGAGACATTTACCTTTTAACAATTATTCTTTGCTATAAAAGCTCATGGATCCTTGCCAGGTCAGTTTTAAGTGTATAAAAATATCTTGACCAGTTATTTTCTAGTTCCTGTGGAATAAAGGATAGAATCATCAATCTATAGCTTTGACAATTATCATGGTGCTTTCTGTTATCCCAATTAAAATACAAAGTCTTTTCTTCTTTAAAATAGGCTGAAAAGGCAAACAGACAGATATTGCTTGTAGATTCCAATAGTTCAGTGTTGATATGTTACAACACTCTAAGCCTATTTCAAATTACTAAAACTCAGAAGCTGAAATGAACTTCTGAACTCTTTGAAATAGAGAGGTTCTCATAAATCTTCACTTATGACGGGTGGAAAGTATGTCCTAATTGAAAATTGGTTAAGTTGCCTTAAGAAAAACTACTTTGCTACCTTTTCTTTGAAGCAAGGGCTGGAACATGTCAATTAAGTTTGATTTAAAACACCTGTTTTCTTTACAACTCTGCTTAGTGATTTAAACTGTTTGTTAATTCTCCAGGAGAGCCCCAAAGAATCTTTCCCAAAGGTTCCTGGAAATCAGCAATAATAATTAGAAAATCACTTGAACCTTTGAATTGTCCTCTACAGAGACTTGGGAGTGGAACCTGGGGAGGGCTGGGTTTGAGGAAGTGACGGACCTCATAAGGGTATAATGCCATAGATTCCACTCTCCAAAGCAATTTTCTCCAGGGGAACTGATCTATTTAGTCTGGAGATCAGTTGTAATTCTGAAAGATCTCCAGGTACCTCCTGGAGGTGTGGCACCCCTAAGTTTGGGCATCCACAAACATGGATTTCCAAAAATGCATTTTTACCAAAATAAAGTTTAGTCTCCCAAAAGGATAGCTGCATCCTCCACTAGACAAGGCAGTCTAGTTACTGATCCATGTTCTTTTGGATAATCAGAAAGGGAAAATGTTAAAAACTGTAAATATCTCAGGCATTTGCATCATAAGCACAAAAGGTAAAAGTCTGACAATATATTAATCACGATATTTAATATGTTCAGTTTAACAAGCTAAATATGTCACTTCTTATAATGGCAGTTATAGTATATAGAGAACATAAAGCATGTCTGAAAGCACATAGATTTAGAGCCAAAGACACAAAATCCAGTTTCTGTGCCAAGGAAATATAAATTCAGTGCTCTAAAAATTATTTTGGTGAATTATAATATTTTCTAAAACCTGGTTACTCTTACAGGACTTCCCAAAAATAAAGGCAATGTCTGGGTGCAAAGAAGCTTTGATTGGTCTGAAATGTGAGGACCCCACCAGTTTCGTTGGGCTCAAACAGACACTGTGTGACTTGAAATCCCAGTTATCCATGACTGGACTCTGCTTTATCAACAAAGTCCTTCAGAAAGGTGAGTAAATTCTGCTGGCTTGGAGGTGAAGGTGGCTGGTTACAGCATAACAGGACTATATACTAGGCCTGTGAGTGCCAAACTAAACATGGAACTGGGAATCTGTGAATTCCTGACAAGGGACTCTTAAAATTCAGTTAAAAGAAATGTATATTTCTGAAAGAACCTGCTCCCCGGTGATCACAGTTCCTCGGACAGGTGCTTCTTTGGCCAAGTAATCCCAATGGTTGAAGTGCCCCCGCTGTGATCTAGCTCAAGTGCGTTCATATTGCCCATCTGTGTCTGAGAGGAGGCTTTTTAATCCAAGGTTCAGGAGGTGATTTGCTACCTGCTTCCTAATGCTCATTGACTCATACAATTTGTTCACCTGCTACTTCCTCCAATATCTAGTAAATGGTGGTGATTATGATGTTACCAGCTGCTGTCATGGTTAGAGGGAAGAATTCAGATATGTGTTTAAAAATCTATCACCCACAGTGGTTCCCACAATCCTGAGAAAGAACCTAAAGAGTGGAGACTCACAACAGAAAAGAAGTTCCACCATTAACAGGATTGTTCTTGTAGCTGTATGTAACATTTACCAGACAAAAGGACAGTTCTTGCTACATCATTAACAAACCAATTCTGTACTTTACTGCAGGTAGCCTTGAGAGAATAACCGTTCCCATCAGGGTCATTTGCCATGGGTTTGATGCTGTTGGGAAATTGGTTTTTTTCCTGCTTCACCACAGCATCATTGGGGCATTCATCCATCCCCCTGGGTTTCCCTGACTTTTCTCTGATGTTTCCCAAACCTGCTTTGCTGTGAAGTTTTTCACTGCTGTCTAGAGGGAAAAGTTCAGATTTTGCTGGCTCAGCCCACAGAGAAGCCATTTCCCAGGCGCCATAGGGCAAATGATTCTGCTGCCACTTCCCACCCACCGCCCATCACAGGTAAACTTCATGCTGGACTCGGTGGGGTGTGGGCAGTGGCTTGCCATGGCATCACTGTTGGAAGAGTTTTAAATATGCAAAAAGGAGCAGAGCTCAAGCCGCTGAAAGAGTAAACAGAGGAGAGGAGAAAGAAGGTGCTATCTAACTGTGTAACTAACAACTAGGGAGGAAGTGGGCTCAAAAAGAGGAAGTCTCCAATGAGCCAATCAGGAGACAGGAGAAAATACCAGGAAGTCCTTAATCTGACTATGTTAGCTACTTAAGCCCTCCGATGCCCCCCTGTAGGATATTCTTCTTATCCTTCTTACTTCATGCAGACAGCAGATCTTGTATATTCTAACAATCACCTCCCAACAGGTGGATTGGAGGTTAAAGGGGCACTGCCCCCTGGTGTGCACTTAGTTCTGCCTGGAAAAGTCCAGGATGGGAGGATGGCCTTTGCAGAGGGATGGGGGCAGGGAAACCTACCATGCGGAAGCTGTGTTGCCGCTGTGCTGTATCAGCAGCATCAACAGGGAAACTACACAAGCTGAAACCAGTGGAGAAATATATATTTTTTTAAGGAAGTTAATATAATAAATGAGGAAAGGCACGATAGAAATGTACTTGATAGATAGGTACTTGAGTGAAGCCCTGGTTGAATGAAGGGAAAGTAGGACCAGAAACCATTAAAAGGTCATATTCCTAAGTAAATTCTTAGTAAAGGTCATAGTTTTATACAGGGCTCTTTTTGTAGCAGGAACTTCTTTGCATATTAGGGGACACACCCCTAATTCCTGCTACAATTTCACATTGAGACAATCATGCCAAAAGAGAGCAAAGGAGAAGATTAAGAGTCCCAGACCAGAAAAGTAAGGGGGAAACCTCTGTTGTAATCCTACCTAGTGGTGTCCCCACAAGTTGCCCAAGGCAAGAAGAAGCAGAGACAGTCTGAAGCTACCGCATCTATTTTGTAGTGTCCTGTTTCCACCCCAAAAGTTTACAGCCATGGCACTAAGCATACATTTTCACACATACACAAAATAAATAACTCAAGTACCTTTAATCTTTCAGGGATTACAATGGTACCTTATGAAGTGATACCAGTACCTATGGATCGAAAGAGTCTTCTAAAGTGTAGGTGCTGTGGTTTTATTTGTTGAATTGCCATTACCTTTAAATGATTTGTAAAAAGAAATCACTGTTCTTGACTGACAGATCTCAACACATAAAAGTTATTACAGTAGTTTTGTATGTGCCTGAGCAAGAAACAGCCCCCAAAGCGGCAAAATGCATGTAGAAGGGTGACATGCTTATTAGGAGTGGACACTTCACTAGAAACACTGAAAGTGGCATTCTCAAGGAGTAAGGCAGTGCGGGTGTTCTAAATCCAATCCCTCTTCAGTCCTGCAATGATGGTATCTCGGCTGGGATATAAACTATATGTCAATCAATCAGTTCGTTAAGATGCAAAAGGTAATGGCCCTAGCCATTGAGAAAGGCAGAAAGGACAACAGGAAAGCCTACAAAATAAAAAAAACATTGTGTATTATACATACAAATCCCAAATGAGGCTATATACCATAGAATTAATTGAATAAATGCCATGATTGTTCATAGCATATACTGTGCATTTATATTACACTCATTATTGTGTCCGCTGACCACCACCGGAGGTCAGCGCACACTCCTGAGCTTCAGTCCGGCACAACAATGGGACTAGGATTCTAGTCCCTCCACTGGGGGGAACCAATGGGACCTTGGCGGGAGATTTAAACCCACCAATGGGACCAGGGGAAGCCCCTGGACTGTGTATATAGTTGGCCTGCCGGCCGTTAGTCTTTAGTCTTGTTGTGTACCAGTAAAGCCATGCTGATCACTACATCAGCCTCCATGCTTTCTTTACGCGTCTAACCCACTACACTTCAATGGCATGATGTTAGAATCATAAAATGGCACTTAACATATGCACCATAGAAGTGCTAAGTACACCCACCAAGTCAAACCTGTTAGTCAGTGGCAGAGTATAAGGTGTTTTATAAACTGTGCGTACAACATTAGCACCTGTCTGGGGGCTTCAGTGGGACATGTGTATATAATCACTCTGCTTTTACAGACCTCTGTTGTCAATGCTCAGAGCCATTGCCCCTCTTTAAGTCCACTGGAACATCACCCATCACTTAGCTTTCCTCTTAACCTGGCCATCTGCAAATACCACCTTTCGCAACAAGATGGCCACCACAGACTATTCCTCTCCACAAATACTCTTGAAATGTGGCATACCTTCTCTTATTTTGCCTAAGGGCCAAACTTGACATGTCGGTTGGACATGTGGAAGGCACTGCCATTTTAAAGCCTAAAACATGTGATTTTGAAATGCCACCCTGCCGTACAGTGGCACGAGGGGCTCCTGTTCTCCTCGTACCTTTTCAAGTGGTAGAATAGCTGCTGGCAGGGAGAGCTGTCCTAAAACCAACCCCACCCACCACATTCAGTGATTCTGAGGCCCCATCCATGCTTTTTGCCCAGGAGGACCCCGGAATCACTAAGAACACCACTGTACACTCGTTATTACATCTTGTGGCTTTGGTGCTTTTCTCTAGATTACATCCAGCCCTGGAAATAACAATAGTAGGGAACTTCCACCAGTCCAGAGTACAGTAGTATGTATGGCACTAACCTCCCACGTTCACCCAGCTCTCTAACCAGTTACATTCTTCATGATAACTGTAAGCGGCTCATGGGAAATGCCAACATCCCCCCCTTTACGTTGAGGATTACAGACGTCAGGCTGTTTTCTCAGTAATTGCATCGGCCAGGCCATCTTGGCCTCTGGCCCACACTTGGCACCCAAGGCTCTGTCTTGTCTCCCACGATTTCTAACATCGACAGGACGTTGCTGAGAGAGATCATCCAGATATTTGGGCTAGGCTCTCGCCAATATGTAAATAGATACTCAGCTCTACCTTTCACGTCCCATGGATCCCGGGGAGGGATGCAGGCACTGGGGGCTGATGCCTGGAGGCAGTCTGAGGGCTGGCAGGGCCTAACAAGCTGGATCCCAACAAAAGGGAGGTGTTGCTGGTAGCCAGAAGAATCGATGCAGGGACTGAAGTGTCTCCTGTTCTGGATAAGGCGGCACTCCCCCTAAAAGAGCATAGGCTCATGGCCCTATATGGCTGGGGACCAACATACCCCTATGCCCATACGAACCTCCCAGGTCACTATGGGTGCCTTTGGAGGCCTTCTTTCGGCAT